ACCTTTGCGACACTGGTGTATCGTGGACACATCTCCCACTTTTAAGGAAACACTGGCCGGAGCAGGAGACGAGGAACTGCAAGTAAAAGGAGCGAGATTTGCGGCAGTTTACCCGCGGCGCTGTTTGATAGTGTGGCGGGTCGCGATGACGTCGGTTTGCTCGCCGCTGAGTGATGGCTCCCCTAATTTCGGACCGGCGGCGGCGCCGGCAGACTGATTCCGAGAGTCGTTTTCGTCGCGCTGTCTCTCTCGCACCTAGACGGGACGCCCCGTGAGTGCGAGAGAGACAGAGCGACGAAAACGACTCTCAGCCTGCAGCGCCGGGACCGGGGTGATTCTGTTTTCTCCCGGTGGAGGACACTTTTAATGGTGGCCTCGCTTCCGCCGCTCTCTCTCTCTCTCTCTCTCTCTCTCTCTCTCTCTCTCTCTCTCTCTCCGTTCCCCACCGCCCCCCGCGGACCCCGCGAGTTTCTGGAACTGTTTCTGCTGCGACGCCGCGAGGAGGCCAGTGGGGCACGCCGGGCAGGGCAGGGTGGTTCCGAACAGTCGCTGTCTCTCCCGCACCCGTGCGGCACGCGCCGCGAGTGCGAGAGAGAGAGAGAGAGAGAGAGAGAGAGAGAGAGAGAGAGAGAGAGAGAGAGAGAGAGAGAGAGAGAGAGAGAGAGAGAGAGAGGCGGAGCCCTCGGTGTACAATAACCGCGTAATTGTACAGCAAGGCCAGGCGAGGCCAGGCGAAGCCAGGAAGGCACGAAGGCAGCGGAGGGTTTGGAACGACGCCGCGACGCCGCGCTGCCCCTGCGCACCGAATTTTCTCCCAAGACTTCATCCAGGAACACCCCGCCCCGCCCCGCCCCGCCCCGACCCGCCTTGCCCCGCCCCGAGGTCGGCGTAATAGTTATTTTGCTATCTGAATGTGGGCGCGATGAGAATTAAGTGAGGCCGGGGCAGGCCGGGCCGGGCCGGGTCGGCTGGATGACGAAATTCGCCGAGTTGACAAAGTTTCGCCAAGTCTTGACGCACTCGTTAAGGGTGTAGCTTAGCCGGGCCTTCTTTGTCCCTCGCGCAGACCGCCACCGCCACCGTGGTGCGCCGAGGGAGAGGCGACTCGCAAAAAAAAAAAAATTGTGGCCGTTATGAATATTTTTTCATCAGTTGCGTTTTTTTTGCGTTGGCACCGGATTACTACTGGGCGGGTCAAACTATATCACTGCAGTAAAAAGGCGTAGGCACACACTAAATTTATTGGTAGAAATTTGTACCTGGTCTCCACAATTCTAAACATGCAAACTTTTTTTGTTTTCGTTAAAAATATTGCAAAAAGCACCTTTGCGCAAAACTGCGTAAGGCGGCGCAAGAATTGAAATTGTGTCAAGGAATCGAGTGTTCAAAATGAATGATAAACCAGTCGTTTAGAAGTGAGGCTGTAGGAAGATTTCATGACTCGATGCGTAACTCTTTTTTGCCAAAGCGATGTCGTAAGTTGGTGCTAATTTTTGTTTACCTATGCTCACCGTGTTTGCATTCAACGTCTCCGCGCGCTAAAATCGACACCACAGTTCAGGTTTGCTTCCCCCTCTCCGGTCGCCCCCCTTTCGGCCCGGCACGCCGCCCGCCCTTGCCCTTAACCCCCTCGACCCCCCCCCCCCCCCCCCCCACCTTCAACACCCTTTCCGCTCCGCACCTTCAGGGCCCCTCCCGGCAGCCCTTGGAACCGAGTCCCCTTTACCCCCCCCCCCTCCATCCTCATTACCCACTTACCCCCCCCCCCACAACCTCTAGTTCATTCAAGGCCGACTAGGTTGTAATTATGGGTAGTATAACGAAACCTTTTGAATGGGTTCGCCCGGCGCTGTGCAGCAGACTGATTCCGAGAGTCGCTTTCGCGTCGCTCTGTCTCTCTCGCACTCATGGAGCGTCCCGTCTCGGTGCGAGAGAGACGCCAGCGACTCTCGGAATCAGTCTGCTTGCGCACACAAGTCTCTTATGTCGGATTAGCCACCCCTGCGCCCACTCCCTGCAACTTTTGTTGTTGTTGCTCTTTGTTTTGTACCCCCCTCTTGTTGTCCTTGTTGTGTCGCTGTGGTGTAAGTGATAAACCGTGTTGTCAAGTTGAAAAGGGAGGTCTATGTCGGCAACTTGTGCTTGTCAACCCGCAGCGCAACTTTACGACTCGGCGGCCTTCTGTTTACATCGAAGCGCGCGCCGCTGCGAGCGACACGCCGACCCGCCGCAATGATGAGTCATTTTGCAAAGTGTTGCGTTTTTGTTATTGTTGTTGTTGCTGTCGGAAGCGTGGGTCTTACTTTTTCGCCGTGTGGTTTCCACGATACTGACCCGGTGAACGACCCCTCGGCACGCGGACGGAGTGCAGTCCGGCCCTCTCTCTCTCTCTCTCTCTCTCTCTCTCTCTCTCTCTCTCTCTCTCTCTCTCTCTCTTGTCCATCACCGACAACTCTGACTTGGTTGGGGTAGAACTACGCTGTCGGACTGCAGGTGTACCAACCGCCCCCACGAATGGACCGAAGCCGGGGCGACGCGGCCACCGGAGTTTGTGTACAGAAGAGCCAACCCTAAAAAGGAAAAGTTAAAAGCTTTGCGTTTATTTGTCTTGTACTTTTGGGCGAACTTAATTTGGGACCCAAGACTCCGGTCTGCGGAAATCCGGTCCGGACTGCGCAGACGGATTCCGGCAGTCGTCGCTCCGTCTCCCTCGCACCCACTGGGAAAGTCCCGTCAGTGTGAGAGAGACAGAGAGCGATGAAAACGACTCTCAGTCTGCCGCCTTTTCCTTCTTAGAGACCGTAGAGACTCACTCATCAATATCGGTCTTATCAGAGCCAGTCGTAAACATGTAAATCCACCGCCTGTTTTCTTCTAAACGGCCCCCATTTTTTATACGATGCGTTATTCAACGGGTTTGAAACGCGCGGCATTAGTTTGGAATCGCGGCGGTGAGGCACAGTGGGCCAGAAGACCGGTGGAGGCGGACAAAACTCTAGACGCGTTTTGAGCTCCAGAGTCGCTAAATGGGACTCGAACCGAACGTGTGACCCCACCAATGGATTGCTCTCCGAACGAGGAATCCATTGGTGGGGTCACACGTTCGGTTCGAGTCCTGTTCAGCGACTCTGGAGCTCAAAACGCCTCCACCGGTCTTCTGGCCCACTGTGCGGGGCCTCACGAGGGGAGCAGGCAAGCGGAGGCGTTGGTTGAGTTGAGACGTCAGTCCTGGGAAGAGGCGACCGGGGCGACGCGAATTCGCAATGGCGTGCGCGATGTGGGATCGAATGTCAAAGAGGTGAGGCGAAGTGGAGGACCCGGGAAGCAGTCTGTCGGTTCAGGCAAATGTTGAGGCGTTGTCCCGCACTCTTAAAAGAAGCCTGAGTGTGTCTGCGCCTTCCCACCAGTGGAGGTGGCCGAAATTCTGGACGCGTTTTGAGCTCCAGAGTCGCGTAATGGGACTCAGCTCGAACGTGTGACCGACCCCACCAATTGATTGCTCTCCGAACGAGGAATCCATTGGTGGGGTCACAGGTTCCGTCCGAGTCCTGTTACGCGACTCTGGAGCTCAATACGCGTGTAGAGTTTTACCCGACTGCACCGGTCTTCTGGCCCACTGTGCTTCCCCTCCCCCACCCCCGGAAAAACGCCATTTAAGGTCCGTAACACGTAAACCGGGCAGCAGTCCCAGCGCTTCCTGGAATGAGGACTGGAATCTATGGCTGCGGTCCGGATGGTTAATTACTGTCTTACTCGGGCCACTGGAGCCTGCAGCGAGTGGTGGGGCCGTGCCGGGGCGGGGGCGGGGGGGGGGGAGGTCGCACGTACGTACGGCAGGATAGGTAGAGTGCCCGGGCCTCCAAAGGGCCTTTTAGAGACGGCGGTGCGCCATAGGACCTTCAATCTCATGGCAGCGGGGATCCCTACCTGCCCCTCCCCCCTCCCCTCCTCTCCCACTTCCCCTCTTCCGTCGCAGGGACGGGCGTTCCTTACTGCAGAACGAGCTCTAAGCGGCGTCTCGGGACGAGCGAGCGACGCGCCACGAGCGGCGGACACCAAAAAGGAAGCAGACGAATTTTTGACGAATTAGCTCGGTGACAGGTCCCCTGGGGAGCGCTTGGCTGGGAGGAGCATGAATAGGGCTTTGTTTGACTCATCACCAGCGACCAAAAACACTTCCGCGCAGGTCGTTTTGTCGCAGTGGACTTCCCTGGTGCGAGAATACAAATAAAGTCAAGGCAATGAATAGTTTTCTGGCTAAATGACGTGTGTTGCAGGCCTGGATGCGGTGGTCGCTCGTTCAAAGATTCACACTAAATGTTTCTGAAAAAAATTTGTTCGGAGACATCACAGTTTTTGTGCACACAAAATTTTTGTGAAAAATTGTTATGTCTCGAACAAAATTGTACGTAACGAATAATGTGAATTCCAACTGACAAGCGATGGGTTCTGGGTTCAAATCCTCACTGCCCTTCTATTTTTTTTTCAAAGAAAACGACGTCAGAATGTTAAAAATGCTAGTCATTAAAATCGTTCTGCGGTTGTTCGCCCAGTAGCTGCTCAGCCTAAGTATATTGTCAGGGCAGTCGTGACCAGTCAGAACGCGGCTGATTAAATTTCACCACGACAACGTTTTGCTTCGTTTCCGCGTTGAGTCTTGTCATCGCGTGCGTGGCGTGGCATGGCATGGCGTGGCGTGGCGTGGCATGGCGTGGTGTGGCATGGCGTGGCATGGCGCGGCGTGGCGTGGCGTGGCGTGGCATGGCATGGCGTGTGCGTCGGACATAAAAGCAGCATGTTTCCGATGCCTCGTCAGACAGGCTGTCAAGAGTGTCGACTGGCGTGATGGAAGTGCAGTGATTATTAAACGCAAGTGTTGCGCCCCGCTGTACTGGCCCGGATAAAATGCGAGCCGACGTCGCCTGCCTGATCGGATCTCGGAAATCGACTTGTTGTCCTGTGTTTACGGTTTTACGTGCGGGGCTTTCGTGCTGATTGGGTCAGGGTGAGGAGAGAGTTGTCATCGAATTTGGATTCCACACTGTAATACCAGCTCCTGGGAATGAACCAAAATTCCAGGTAATTCCAGGAGATTTTCCTGTTAATTCCAGGAGATTTTCCTGTAAATCCCAGGAGATTTTCCTGTAAATCCCTAAAAATTTTCCTTTAAACCCCTGGAGATTTCCCTTTAAAAATCCTGGAAGTTTCCTTGAAAATTCCGGGGCATTTTCTTGAAAATTTCAGAAACGCCAGATCTCTCTGGCAATGTGTTGCACCGCGGAGCGACAAGGCGCACAGATTGATGACAACACAATAAGTCTATTATTTCGGAATGAATCGGGCAATAATCCGTTTTCAGGTGGAGTGGCGGCTCAAATTGTCATCGCGGTGCCGCCGACAGGTCGGCCTTGTTGTGCAGATTGGATTGGTCTCCCTCGCACCTCATGGAACGCCCGACATGTGTGCGAGAGAGACGGAATTACTCTTTTGGAATCGGTCAGCTGGTTGCGCTAGCTCGTGGGTTATCAGCCATTTCAGATAGTCAAAAAAGTATTTTTTTGTCGTATTTTGACATTTTGCTGTGTCTTGCGGGGATGTTTTTTCTTTGCGGGCAAGAAACGCTGCTGGGACTCGAACGGCAGTCCCTCGGGTGGACGATTCAACGTCTCGGCCGCAGTGAAGTAAGGCGCCTGACGACAGGATTGAAGTCGCAAGGGGAGAGCCTGATGAAAAATGTAAAGTGACGCTGGGACTCGAACCTCGGTCCCTGGTCTCGGGAAAGGGTGACGCAAGCCCCTCGGCCACCGCAGGTCGTGAGCTGTGCGAGTGCTCGCCGTTCTTTTCTGGCAGTGTTTGAAATTATCTCGGCCAACCCCGGGCGGCCCCGGGCGGAGGGCAAGAAAAATAACAAGAATTTCCTTTTTCGGCGTGGCGTCCTGGCTCGCAGGAACCAACTCGCGGCGGAAAAGTGGGGAAACTTTTTCCAGTGCGTCGTCGTTGCCCTCGCACAGTGGGCCAGAAGACCGGTGGAGGCGGTCGAAATCCCGGACGTCTTTTTAGCTCCAGAGTCGCTTAACAAGACTCGAACCGAACGTGTGACCCAACCAATGGATTGCTCTCCGAACGAGGAATCCATTGATGGGGTCACACGTTCGGTTTGAGTCCTGTTTAGCGACTGTGGAGCTCAAAACGCGTCAAGAGTTTCGGCCGCCTGCGCCGGTCTTCTGGCCCACTGTGCCTCGCCTTTCCGTGGTCTGCTCGACTCGACTCGGACTACCCGACTGAGCTACCCCGCCAATCCAATGCCCGGCCACAAAAACCACCAGCTTGGCTGTGACAGGCTTGGCGCTTTCGGCGTTTAAGCGGACGACTTTGGCCGTCCGATGGATGGGGAGGGGGGAGGGGAAGGGGAAGGGGAGGGGCCCAACTACTTGAGAGGCTGTGCGAGGATTGTCTGATGCCATAAAGACAAGCGAGCGTTGCCCGTCCCCACCCCGACCATGGCCTGGGCTACTTCTCAGACTACATCACCCACCCCGCCCCATCCCGCTCGCCCCGCCCCGCCCCGCCCCGTAGGCAACCCGCAACGCGGCAGGGAGTGTTGTCTACTTCAAAGGGCCGCGCACTGTGTGCGCTATGTACGGCCATCCCGCGACGAGGACCGCCAAGATCTATACACTGTTAAAAACTGTCGCTCTGTCTCTCTCGCACTCATAGAGGCGCCCCATGAGTGCGAGAGAGACAGAGCGAGACTCTCGGATTCGAGTGTTCCCTTGTGGGTTGCAAGCAGTGCATGCAGTGATGCCCCATCGGATATCTTTCTTCCTTCCTCAGTCTCGTCCTTTTCTCCAGACCCCGTCCTCCCTTCCCCCCTCTCCCTCTCCCTCCCCCCCCCCCCTCTCTCTCCTGCACGCCCCCGCCCCCCGAGTTCACCCACAGGGTACAACTTGGCACTTTCGCCTCAGAACAGCGCGGCGAACCGGCTAGAAGTAGGAAGGGTGCGTGTCGTGGCGAGAAGGGCCTAGGGCGGGGCGGGGCGGGGCGGGGCGGGGCGGGGCGGGGCGGGCGGGCCGCCAAATCCAGACTGAGTTTGCGGGTAAAACGCGGGGCGCGCCGCCTCCGCCGCCTCGGATCCCCCCGGCTGCCTCGCTGCCTTGGTGCCTCCCGCCCGCCGAGTCAAGAAGACGGGGTTCATGGTTCATGGCCCGGAGTGTGGGAGTGCCTTGTCTCTTTGATTGTTTGGTGGCCGCGCGGACGGACCGGCCGACGGACGGACGGACGGAAGGACTGACGGACGGACGGACAGACAGACAGACAGACAGACAGACAGACAGACAGACAGACAGACAGACAGACGGACAGACAGACCCACGCACACACAAAGACAAACTGACGGGGGCACACTACCCAGACGGAGCACACGCAAATAGAAAAGGATGAAAATAAGGACTGCAGCGGGCGTATCCGATAAGCTTGAAATGCACAGTGGGCCAGAAGACCGGTGGAGGCAGCTGAAACTCGAGACGCGTTTTGAGCTCCAGAGTCGCTAAGCAGGACTCGAAGCGAACGTGTGACCCCACCAATGGATTCCTCGTTCGGAGAGCAACCCATTGGTGGGGTCACACGTTCGGTTCGGGTCCGGGTCCGGGCTGTGGTTGTCGACACCTTCGACACTGGTGCATTGTGGGAAGTGTGGCAACGCCGCCGTCGGCCAGCTATTCCGGTGGTTCCAGCCGCACTGTCAGCGAGTCGCCCCCACACGTGCTCCAAGGAGCGCGCTGTCCGTCTGTCCATCACTGTCGTTCGTCTCTCTGTCTGTCTGTCTGTCTGTCTGTCTGTCTGACTGACTGCTTGCCTGCCTGTCTGTCCGTCCGTCCGTCCACTTTATTGTCTCCACTAAGGGCTTGCGGCCCGCCAGGCAGGCAGTCGGTAAAAATCACAGCGCGACCCCCCCCCTCCTCTCCCCCACCCGCTATGATTCGACCCGCCCCCCGCGAGGCGCGCCACGGCCGTCTGCGCCTTTTCGCTTCACTTTTATATTCTTTATTTATTTTTCGCAGTGGTGTGCCGCACGGAAGTGCAGTGCAAACCAGTCCGGTCCTTTTGGCCGCCGCTTGCCGTCACCTATCCACGCTTCGGAGGGAAAAGAAAGTGACCTCTCGCGTCGCCCTCCCTTACCTGCCTCACTGTGTCTGTCTGTCTGTCTGTCTGTCTGTCTGTCTGTCTCTCTCTCTCTCTCTCTCTCTGTCTCTCTCTCTCGCTGAGGCACCTGGTGCGCCCTGATTTGGCGACGGTCCCCCCACGACGTTGACAGACAGCCCCTGCCACGCCCAGCTGTCTGTGCCGGGCTGATAAGCCCCAGGATAAACTGACAAGTTCATCATGCACGGGATCGGAGTCTAGGCCCCCCCCCTCCCCTTTCCACTAGTGTTCCCGTCCCCTCGTCCCGCATCTCCCATGCAACAAAGTTGTTCCGGTCTTTATTCTTTTCAATTCTTC